TATGTGTGCACTATAGCGAGCAGGATTGCGTCAATTTCCGAGTTTCTGCATAAATTTACACTATGATGCATTTAGGTCTTGTAGCGGTTAATATTAGGAGCGCAACCTGCCGATTGTTCTAGTCAGATCATACAACATTCTTCTTCTTTCCTCTTTGGTCGAGAAATTTTGCAAAAATCTCTGCGTTTTGAAATACCAAAATGTGCTCTATTAGCAGAAAAGTTGAAATATTGCTAAGATCGAAGTACTCCCCGTACTATGTAAAAAAAATCTGTACGTGCAGTACAGTTCGGTAATTTGAAGCCGTTCGATGCGTATCAATTATTTGCTAGCTATTTTTTTGTATTTTCCATTGAATTATACGATATTGTATGTAAAAATCTCCGACTACTACACTCGTACACTAGCACTTGTTCCATGTGTAGGAACACAATTCCTATCACTTGTACTTTGGTTAAAAGCAATTGGATGGAAAGCTTCTTCACAGCTTAAAAAACCTAAATTCTGCTCTTTGTTGGAAATGGTGAAAATTTTGGCATTACAACGCTTCTAGTAGATGGGCAAAGCTCCAAGCGTTTGCGCTTTATTTGGGTTGTTTATGGATGATTGAAGCTTCTCATTTTTTGCTACAAAGTGCTGCTGGCCTAGAGCACTCAGGTTAGAAAGGCTAAAATGGGGCTGAGCCTTTTCAAAAGCCTCGCGCGGTATTTTCGAGTTTTAGGTGGAATAACTGATAGATACCATTAGGATCACAAGTTCCTTGCTCCTACGTATTCAAAGTCAAAGTTCAATGCTAAGCTTTTTTCTTGCTATTACAAAAAGCATTCCCTCTCCTTCTTTCTGAGAGTATAACTGGTTATTTGTAGTGGTCTTGGGCTGAATAAAACTTCAGAAAGTTCTGCGAAGGCACTACCATGGTTGTTCGGCATCTCGCACCATATCCATGTTTGCTAAATTCACCAAATCGAAAAGAACTTTTTACGATCCACTATGAAACACATGCCTGAGAGTAGGTTCTGTTGCAATGCTGCGCCCAAGCTATTCGAAGATTTTTTCCAAGTCTCTATCCTTTGTTGATTCACCATTTTGCCCGGTTACACTGTCAAATGTCAGAAAATCAGTCTGAGACATATATCTGGAGAAAGCATATGGTTTTGACAAATTCGCCATATGGCCATGTTATTCTTCTTCCGCCCTTGATTCCACATATCTTGAACCATTGTATCAGTCTGCTCGTTTTCATGGTGTCACTCGTTTTTCGAAAAGTTGAGTTCTGTGCTGCTGGGCTGGGCTTAATTCTCCTTTGAATTTTCTAATGTCAAGCTTTCGTTCTGCAAATAGGTGTCTTAAGTAACAGTTTGTTTGCGAGACCTCCAGTTCTTGTTTCTCAGCTTCTTCAGCAACTATATAATTCAAAACAGTGCATGTTCTAGGCTTCTAGGCTTTTTCGAAACTATTTTTCTTACAAGGAAAGCTTGTTTACTCGAAGTGGCCCTTTACAAATGTGATGTATACCCTATTAAAGGGCATAAAACGCTGATTCCAAATCTGCCTTCCTTATCTGCAGAACGTTTATGGGCGAGGAGTTATGAGCGTTTTGGAGCGAAAAATTAAATGTGCATTTGGGATAAAATGAGTTGCTAAAATGTTACTAGCTTGCAATTGAGTTTGATATATTAGGTTGTCTCATAATTAATGCACGTTTTTATTTGCTTGCTTTAACAAGGCAACCAGACTCAACCCAACAAAGGGTAAGGGGTACTGTTCGATAGAGCAAAGCAAGCTCTACAAGATGGCACTCATGTCTTTGCGTCATTCTCGATCCACGGAAAGTTCGAACTCAAAGTCTAAAGATTTCCAAATGCCCAAAAAATCGAAAAAAATCAGATCTTCGTCCAAATAATTTCTACGGACTTCCCACTCGCTCACATCAATACTATCGATATCTGATATCCATATGTGCGATTGTCGTATTTTTTCCTTGACTAGAAACTGAGAAAACGAAAAGTTAAGTGTAACTGTAGGTTTTCAGCCCATTCCAAGATGTAATTTTCGAAAAATAACAAATTCGGATTTTTTCGTTTCAGTTTCAGTGCTAAAATCGACATTTCTCGAAAAGTACCGCTCGAAATAGGCTGAAAACCTACAGTTATGCTTACCTAGGCTTGTAGTATAGAACTACGTATAAAAACGGCTCAGCATTGCTTTTAGGAAAACACGAAAATTTTCGTTTTCTCAATTTCTAGTCAAGGAAAAAATACGGCAATCGCACATATGGATATCAGATATCGATAGTATTGATGTGAGCGAGTGGGAGGTCCGTAGAAATTATTTGGACAAAGTTCTGATTTTTTTCGATTTTTTAGGAATTTGGAAATCTTTAGATTTTGAATTCGAACTTTCCGTGGATCGAGAATGACGCAAAGACATGAGTGCCTTCTTGTAGAGCTTGCTTTGCTCTATCGAACAGTACCCCTTACCCTTTGTTGGGTTGAGTCTGGTTGCTTTGTTGAAGCAAGCAAATAAAAACGTGCATTAATTATGATACAACCTAATATTATTTATTTCATAGTATTTTTTCAAAATTAAGTGCTTTGATAATTATCCATTGGAGAGAGAGCTAGAAAAAGTATCACGGCTATTTTTGTCCATTTGCAAAATAAACTCAAAATAAGCTCCAAATAACGCTCATAACCCTCGTCCGTAAACGTTCTCCAGATAAGAAAGGCAGATTTAACATCAGCATTTTATGCCCCTCAATATGGTTTACATTTTATCCAAAAAGCCCACTTCCACTAAACATGCTTCTCTTGTTAGGGTTATGGTCCTGAAGTCCAGGTCATAATAATTTATGTTTTTGCTACAAAACGCTGTATGAAAACAACGTTGTAAAAAAGTGATCGCATCCATGATTTTTGCTTCGAACATCTGCTTTTAGTATGAAGATGTCTCATTCTTCCCAAAATTTGACTATACTGAGAGTTGAGCGTGCTAAGTTAGCATCATAGCATCTATGTGGCGTAATTTTCACTCCTATCTTTTGTGGATAAGTCGGCGAAAATTATGGTCAATTAACCTTAGTTTCTTTATCCGCAATTTTCCCTCATTATCGCTACTCGTCGCCTGCGTGCGTTAGATTCGATTTTATAAAACTGCTCCATTTACTGCACCAAATGCGTTTGTTCTAGAATTTAGTGCAGCTCGAAGTTCTCACTCTACCGGGTTACTGTAATGTTATTCGCATCTGGACTGCGCAAAGCGGTCGATCAGGCCGATCCGTCGGCAGCGGCCATTTTGGCCACAGCTGAAGAGACAAGTCGACTTCTGGCTGAAAAGCGACGTCGTCAGATGCTTCGTCGTCACACATGTAGCACTCTGAAACCAGATATAAAAGATTTGAAGCCCGCAGCAATTTTTGGGCCTCCGCTCGCCATCAAGGAAGATGATGAGGAGGAGAAGGTAAGAAGTGCATTAGTCAATTTCAACGTGAGCCATAGGAATGTGAATGGTATTTGTTGTATCGCAGGCAGGGTTAGCAAGAGAATCCTTGTTCGAGGCCCAAAAGCACTTGGAAGTATGTGATTTCTATACTTCGAGAATTTGCGAAAATCTTTTCTTCATATATCTTCCGTAAGATTTAGTTCGGCTTAAAACGAGAACCCCTGCAATATATAAGAGGATTTAGCCTTTGTAAATCTTAGCAGGAACGTGAGAATTTCTATTTTTAGCACCAAATTGTTTACAAAGTTTGATGCTCATAATATCTCCCTAATCTACGGTTAGGACAGAAGAGATCTCTCCATTTAGTGTGAAATATCACTCATTTAGCTTCATGAACATTTTGCAAAACATTTTCTTACTGTGCTAATCTCTTTCTGTGGGAAAACATGGCATTTGGTATGTCTATTACGACGTTGGTTCAATTGAAAACTACCTTTCTAATAAATTAAGACATTGCAAATGTGATTTATGTAGTTAACCAGTGTTGATCCAACTTCTAATAGATTTCCACTACGAAAACACAATGTTGGAGTGCAAAACAAGTTGGACCAAAAGGCTTTTATGCTACGTTTATTCTCATGACTATGACTTTAAACAAAATTCCCAGCCATAACGTGGTCCCAACGAAGCCGTTTCCAACTCTAAGGACCAGGCGATTGTCCTCATTGTCAGGGTTTTCACCTGTCCTCCACTTCATGCTGACTACGAAGATGCATTCTTTTTATTTGTTATATCAAACGCTAGGTTATGGTTGCCATGCTGTCTTAGGCAAGGGACATACCTCACGCGATTTCAGTCGCGACGCAATTTGGCAATATTTCAACTGTCTGTAATCCATTGTAAGTACATCTTAAACGTACAGAAGATAAGGCATTCTATCAATCCACGTAAGTTATACACACTATGCATGTGCAGTTTGCTAGTACTGGGTCTGAAAACTTCTGGCGAATTGCCAAATCGCGTCGCGAATGAAATCGCGTGAACTATGCCCAGCCCATTAGGTGAATAACGTCTGTAGAAAATCGTATGATAGAATGGTGCTGTCAGTTCTAATTTTGAAATATCGTTGTGCAAAAACTCCCCAAATGTGAGACAACTTCCCGAGGTTTAAAGCACAAAAAAGCCAATAAAAGTGACAAATTCTTGATGAATAGCATGTGTCTCTTAGCCGCACATGATGCACGGATGCATGCAATGCAGGTAATTTATACTTCCATGAAAAATTAGAATTGTTTTGTGTGCTTCGACAATATGGAAAGCTAGAGCCCCACAAAAATGCAAGACCCGATGGATCTTATCACTTGAATGGACAAGATGCGTTAACCCAATTGGAGGTTGTGAAGGCGTTAGAAACGAGTTAGTGTAGATGTGCTTTTACATGAAAACTTGATAGGAGGCACAAGAAATAGATAAGTTATTGGTGGGCAGGTGAAATGAATGTTCTTCTTCTCGTCAAAAGTTGGTCAGGAAGTCTATATATCCAAACACTGTAATTTCAGCCACTACCGCCTTCAGCGCCGCAAGTATCGTCAGCACGACCTGCGCTCGATGATTGGGGCACTTCTGGATTCGCCCTACCACCACCAAGTGCGCCCTCGTCTGTTCCAGCTTTTACCCCACCTCGAAATGTGACGCCAGGTAAGGTACTCTCGTGTAGTGACTTACTCTTATGAGCACCCGATACGATAATTTGCATTGTCTTTGGCTATGCTTAAGCCTTACCTAATTCGCCAAATCTTCTTTTCAGTAAACAATGTCAACCCAGCCACATCAAGTGGCGGTGGCGACGATTTCGATGACGAATGGACGGACGAAGACGAGGAGGTACAAGTAAGTCGCACAATGTCCAGCATTTGTCCTAATGTCTAGTCCATCTTATTCGTTGCGTCCAAAACACCCCTTGTTGTTTGGTGTATTACGTTGCACAATAACTAGTAATTAGCACATTAGTAGTGAAATATTAGCTAGCACTACATGACGCACTAGCACACATCCGAGTCACCATGTTTAGAAAACTCATTACGATGGTTGTAAAGCGGAAAAAGTAACTGCATTAGAGCATCAGGCATACCGCTTTATTGCTAGTGAGACTACCCATAGGGAAGGAGATTAGACGCAGAAAAAGTTTTTCCATACGAAGGAAGCATCAAGCGCTTCTGGTATAGGAGCGTTTTGCCGTGAAATAATACACACAATCCAAGAGTGACGGAGGAAAGAAGAAATTGCAGAAGACAATCACCACCATCGGACATTTTCATGCAAACTATTAGCAAATTCATGGAACATAGAAAAGTAAATTAGCCAGTATATGGATGCAATTCATTGATAAAAATGAAGGTGTATACATATAGATACATATAGATACATCAAACTATACAAGATTGCAAGTACTGAGCTCGAAAAAGTCTGGTAAATATTACAACTGTCTCTAATTTCTGCGTATGTGTTTCATAAAGACCCACGTACGAGCATACAAATATCAGGTTGGCACATAAGTTTTGCAACGTCCCCCAATTTTTTTCTTACTCAGTAGCACTCTCACTCTCTGGATCATGTAGAGTGTGACATGAGCTGCAAGTCTGCGCAAACCGTTTTATTTATGATAACTTAGTAGAAAAAATTTGAGCATTTTTCAAAAACCCTTGAAAATTGAGGCATGGTTTTTTGGCAAACATGAAGCCGTACAAAATCTGAATCAAACATACCAAAAAGGAATTATATGCAGCATGAAGCTAAAAGTTAACACAAATCAGTAAAAAAGAAGACAAATTCAGAGACAAATTAGGATAAGGCTCCTTTGAAAATTAGGACAATTCAAATGCATCTTTGGAAGGCAATCTGTCAGTGACTAAGCTGCGAAACCTCCGAATTCGCTAGAACTTTGCACAGTAGGGTAATCCAGTTCGTTGAACAGAATATCATATTCACTCGCCGCTAAGACGAAATTGGTTTTTTGACCTTACAAAGAGGCCTTTACACGCGAAACGATTCCATTTTTTTGTAATCAGCATGTCGAATAACTCCCATAGGTCAAGTATCAGCAAAATCTGACGCAATCTAACAGTAAGATTTTTCCCATTGAAGTGCAAACCTTACATACCTTACATAAGATGGAAAAATTCGGCAAAAATGTCTGCATTGTCTGTTTAATCGTAATCCTTATATTTACAGAAAATGAATGCGCTACGTTTGAAAAGACAAAAGTTATATAAAAAGTTGCATTACTTATGTGCCAAACTAATATGTCAGACAATAACAAAGTTCATATGGTAGATACAATTTCTGAACCCTAATGAATAAATGGTAATTTTTCCTGAACAAATAATAAAAGATTCAAAATAACTTTTTAGCGCTTTCTGCTCATGTCATAAGCGGTCCTATTTGACCGCTTATGACATGAGCAACATTTATGATACGTTATCTATGTAAGGTCCATGTTTTGTTCGTATTCCAACTTACCTGCAAAAACGTTTCACTATTTCCATGTACAAAAACCTTTTCCGATAGTTGATCATATCCATTATGCCTCAAAATACGTCGAAAATACGAATTTAAGTTCTGTTTGTGATACATTGCTTGAGATAATACCCAAAGCCGATTAACTCATTCTCCCTGCCCTACTTGTAAGGACGTGGACTTACAATTCGGACCATGTGCCATCCTGTGGGTCAATTAGGAACACAACCCTTTCTTATAGAGATACTAATTGCATTTGTATCATAAAGAACCCACTACTGTTGTGAGTCGTGCGTATGTGGTATGGGTGCTGTCGTTATATTCTATGGGGAGCTATTGGACGGACACTTGTCAGCTGCTTCTTTCTTGTGGTTGGCTTCATTTTTTAGACAGATGACTTGCCTCGCTGGTTTTTTATAGCGGACGGCCCCAGAAGCAACCCTTTTCTATACATTGCATTTCCTCAGCAACCAACGAGAAATGTGTATCAGAAAAGCGCCAAAATTTTTGAGTCTTTAAATTTTTCAGATCCGTGGCTTACTCCAATTGATACCAAAAGCGAAGGCATAAAGCTAATATTGGAAAGTAGGCCCTAGTTTGAGATCAGAATGGTCCCTTAGATACGAACACTCTAATTTTGGACTCCTCCTACTATCTTCACCAAAGTGCAAAGAAAGTATAGATCTTAGACACTTTTTGAGAAGATGTAAGATTGTTTGGGGATGGGTCATTGCTTGTAAATTCTCATGGGACAAATTCAAAATCTAGATTAAGGGGGCTTTGACATGCACTATCTAGAGAGCTGCTGTCTATTTGTTACATTTTTCCTGTCTATGGCTCGAAGTTTACCAGTTGTGATCGTTTGAGCTCATTTTTTGGGGGCCAAATTTATCAAAAAATCAAAAAATTCTTATCATAGAGTACCAAGCTGTCGTATTTTTTTTGCACTGACATGAACTGGGCTTTCATAGTTAAATGCAGAGAACAGGATTTTAGAAGGGATCGCAGTCGCTAATTCCTTCCCTTTCATGTAGTTCGCAATAAATTCGAGCTTTTGCCCAGCATTGGTCATTTTGCGCGCTTTTGCAGATTTCAACGAAAGCAATACGTATGCCCATTCAAAATGCATAAGAACATTTGTCCTTTTTGTAATTTTGTCTTTATAATGTAATTTGTTTTCTTGGACACTGTGGCATAAAATTCCAATGCATTCCACTACTCCTTCATTTTTGTTTGCTTCATGAAGTGCTTTTGTGGGCAGCTCGAAACTCATTCGTGGAATATTGAAGTTGGAGCTTCATAAAGAAAATGTACATTCTGAGTACTCTTTGCATCTCACAATTAAGGCAGAGGAAGGGAGGAGATTTGCAGGAGAATATCATTGACGTTTGTTAATTATTCTGTGGAAACAGCTATTTTTATGCTCCTCCCAGCCTCCTCTGGACCCCAGATTACTTTGCACACGCATTCTAAAGCAGCACACATTTTGCACTTTGTTTAGGATCACAAAGATGCATTTTCCAAGTCTCTATAAGAATAGACCCCAAGTGACCAAAGGCCACTGTTCTTGCTGCTTGCTTAACGCTCCCCGAGGAGTTCGAAAAATGACAGACTGCGCAAAACTCGTGGCCATTCTTCTAAATGTCGCCAAAACGTCGCAAATAGACTAGTCAGACGCTTCTATGCGACCGAGACTCCATCTAAAAAAATCCGAATCCTTTGAGAAGAAAGGCTGAAAGTCCTCGTTCTGTCACCAGTGCAAACGTTCGTAATACTGTTTCGGCTATTTGCAAAAAAGTGCCTTAGTGAGCAGCGTGAAATTTTGAGTGGAATAGAAAAGGGGATAATGGCGGCTCTATTGTCCATCAAAGCATTACGCATTTGGTGCTTTATTTTTGCAAGTTTTGAGCTGCGCCGTTTTAGTCAAACATTAAATATCACAACATTGACTACCACCCTCTACCCAAGCCTACTGGCGTTTGTCTACCTTGTGAATTATATTGACTTGGAGTAATCGCTACGCATAATGGCTTCAATGATCGGAAATATCTTGCAGTTACTACAGGGTTTCAGTTTTGCTTAGCATAAAAGTTAATTTTTCAATCTTCTGATAAAGTCTAGTCCTTCTATTCCGTAAGGCGATCGGAGAGCCGAGAAATTCTGAATTTTGGTGAGTCATTTGTAGGGCTCGGTACGAAGTGGCTTTTGGAAAATGCAAAAAACAAAGTCCCCCTTGACTTTCAACAAATTTTACGAAGTCCCCTTTGACCCTAAACCATAATCGTAAAAATCTCCAAAAAAAACGAAACGTCGACCAAAAAAACGACGCAAATTTTCTGTCTTTTCGGCCACAAAAACAAAACTCCCCTTGCTTTTTGTCCCAAAAACGATATCCAGCTTGCTTTACAAGCCACCTGTGCCGAACCCTGGTCATTTGAAATGCTCGAGTTTGTTCTGCTGCCATCTGGCCTCTATAAAACAAATTTTCAAAATATGGTCTTGATTAGCCCACTTCCGAGTCCTGTCTTTGGAATGTTTCTCATTTCTAAGCACCCTTGAACACTGCAAAGTGCATAGACTTCTTCACATGCGAAGAAAATCCAAATTTATGCTAATGGTAGAAGGTAGAAATTTTTTGGGTCCTTCAATACTCTCCAATATTTTCCAATACTTTAATTCACGTGCTCAAAATTATTGTCAATACTCCTTGAAATACAAAAAAAGAACAGAATTGCTATCCATCTTTGATATCTCGCACTTAGTGTTTAGTCAAGTTTATGATCTGAATTGCCATCGAGTTTTTTTTTGCTATTCTACTGCTGCCTGCGCAGATGCTTGCTCCTGTTTTTGGGAATTCGTGCTCAGATACATTAAAGCATTAGCACGCTACTATTATGATACCACTCTGAATCGTAACGTTAGTATATTTGGCTTTCTAAGCGTTTTCGCGTGACCATATGTCGTAGCACAAAAAGGCGTAGTAGTAGTTTTTCGCAATGGATTTGTTTGTCACCATGCAAGAAGAGCCTGTCTGTTAGGAATGTGTCAAATAATCTGACAGTGGATTGAGGCGGGCAGAAGTTGTGTTTTGATAGTATAAATAAGAGAGCCGTAATCGCGGAATGCTCTGTGCAAAGTTTTTTTTCAAAATTTTCTTGGATCTAATAAAAAGGCGGGTCAAACCATGTTTATCAATACCTTTCCTTTCTTTTCTAGCAAGGTACAATTTTCCATTATCGAAAATTGTATACTCAGACCGGGTATCTGACTTGGTAATTTGCCAGAAATCCAAACGTATTTTCATAAATCTAGAAAAGTCAGAAAAGTTTGTCACATTTCCACGTTTTTGTCGCGACGATCACGCCGCAAGAGCG